CCCCAACAAAAAAGACAGATCGGTTAAACCGCCCGAATCTTGATCATTAGTGCAACATGTTGCTTCGCTGAAAGGTGAGGCAGATTACCGACACCGAAGCGGCCAATTACATTCAGTTCTGGCGATGAATTCAATGATCTAGCGTTTCCGAATACAGAAATCCTAAACCGACTATCCTAAAATTTTTATCGAAGCGGTTGCTGCCTACGAAAATGAATCAATTGTAGGTGTTTTTATTCGGTTTGACTAATTGAAAGATGCTTGATTACTTCCAGTTAAACTTCATTCTGTTACATCAAAGTCACATTCACTGATACGCTTGAAAACTCGTGATCGCCTCCTTCGAGTCGAAACAGTCGGAACATAGGAAACGTTCATCTTTTCGAGGATAAAGTTAACATTGGTCACTGATGGACGCCAGCATGCAACTGCAGGTGGGTATGCTCTCAGCTGATGAGCATTTCATCGATTATCTGTGGGACAACGACCACTTGGAGATTTCAGGCAGGGAAATAACTAGCAAGCTTGCACCTCCTATTAACAAAATATAAATGTTGTGTGGCTTGTTGCACTCAGCCAATCACGTGAGCTCAGCGCGGAGGCGGTGATATGCTTACCGTTCACGAACGGGACGTTGTAAACACCCCTGGCCTCCCGACTAAACGGACGTATGCAGCGCATGCGTAAACACACAAACACACACAAGCCCAAGCAAGTCCAAATAACGTGTCTTTCAAACATATGCGATGCATGCTAGCGCCACGTGTGCGTACAGTGAACGGGTCGATACCCCAAGGCGAACGCATGTGTTATTCACACCGCTTGCATACGCGGGTACGCACAAGTACGCACGCGCCGGTGCAGACGTGCAAGTGCGCAGGCGACCGATCGAACGATCGCGCGCGGCCAAGTGCAGCCCTAGCTCAGCCAGAGTGACAAAAGAGACAGTGTGTTCTTATTGGTCCACACAGAACCAATCGGCGTTTGGCTGCGCGCGACCTGCAGCTTGGTCAACGCACTGTCGCCCTCTGATTCGCTCTTACGGTTNTGCCTCGCCCTAGGCGTTGACACCAGACGAATAAGCGCTCAGTTGGTATTACGGTGCTATATCGGTCCGCTTGGATCAAACTATCTGAAGAAGCCAGCGTTTGTTTAGTGAGCTATCAAATCGACCACAAACGCTCATAGTCGCGTGTCAAACCGATCAGTCATGATTTGATCGCACAGGAGATCAACTTTATGTGTGACAATCCTTGGAAAATGTTGCATCGTCCTAGCCTGATTCCGAGTGCCATGAAAATGGCATTTAAAAGCGCTCACAATGATCAAACATCAATCGAATCTGATCCTGGCTTGGATTTACTTCTTCACGATGATGACGAAATTATAGTCGTAGAACCGACAGATCCGGATGAGGATAGACTCAGAGAACAAGAGCAACAGGAGCAACAACAACAACAACAACTATCTTATGCACCACACATGAGCCCAAAGCAGACCAAAATCGTATGTTCGTCCCCGTCTATTCCACACTCATCCGTCGAGGGATCATTCCGGGTAGATCCTGCAGCTGACTCTGGAAATTCTGACATCAGTACTGACAACCATTTCAACGGTTTGGCTCAATCTCATCCAAATAATGCAATCAATTCCGGAATAAGTATCCAAAACTTATTTGCGCCGATTAAACTAACAACTTTTCCCATCGGGTCTGTGCCCACACTGACATCCAATTTAGCGTCGGTTCAAGTGGTGAAATGCATTGATCTGCACAACCTCACTCGTACCACACTGGGTTCGCAAGACGTGACTTCACAATTGACTACTAGCTCAACGGACAGCCACTCAACAATCAGCGCAATCATTCCCATTGGGAACCTGAACACCGTTCTTCCCGCTCTCTTGTCATCAAATCCGGTCGCAGCGAATGTGATAACAAATCTGTTGAGTGCCATTTTTCAAAACTCTGGGCCCAATACCACCACGGCGACTATTGTGAATGCCTCAGGTAATACCGCAACTGCGCCTTCAACTAACCCTGTGTTAAGCTCGGTACAAACCACATCCCCTGACATTAAGACTACATCTGATGATGTGTCTCCCCCGAAACCGCCTAGTAGAGCAAAACGATTCACATGCCCAATGGTCCCTTGCCCATTGACATTTGCCAATCGATTCAATCTCACTGAACATATTCGCACACACACCGGAGAACGTCCTTTTGTTTGCAATGTTGGCACGTGCACCGCTGCCTTCAACCGACACCGCAGTTTGAGAGACCATATGAAGGTGCATAAACTGCGCGAAGTGCCTCGCACGAGCGCTCATTCCTACGCGTCGTCGATAGAATCACGCGTGGAACACGATGCTGATGACCTGTCCTCCTCGAATGAGAAACTCCCATCTGAAGATGTGAATACCTCGTCTACAGACCCAGCGATCAAGCTGAAAGTAGACGAAGAAGATTTTCATGCAGAAAATACGCATCAAGAAGAGCAATCGTTCGCGCGCGGTTGTATGAAACAAGACGTAGAATCATCGGACTCTGCATACCCGTGTTTAAAAAAAGAGGAATATAAGCTGTTTCCAACCTCAAGACCGGAACTAATAAGGCGTTTTTCTTGTCCCTACAAGAATTGCAACAAAGTTTTCCTCAAAGCGAATCGAATGAGGGAACACGCACGAACACACACAGGTGAACGACCATACTCCTGTCCTTTTCCGGGTTGTGTTGCTACGTTTGGTCGTGCCTATGGTGTGCGTCGACATATGCAAAGCCACGCACTCGGCCTCCGGCATCCGATCCGATGGACCAGAGCCGCTCCAGAGTTCAGTAATCCACCTACGAGCGGGGAAAGTTCTGCCGGTTCCACTCCAATACCGATTGCCCCGGCCGTATCGGCCGCAGATATCGCGCGTCGTCGTCGTATGCCATTCCCGTACGATTTCGTTCCCACTACGACAGCAACATCCATAGCCCAATCTACGTGTTTGCGTAACCCTCCAGTCATAGCACCAAAAACTGACAAACCACAAACAATCCGTCCCCTTGATCCACTTCCCATCGGTCCCGGAATATTACGCCCTCACTCCTGTCCGTTCAGAGATTGCGCCAAAACATTTGCTAAAATGTATCAACTTCGCGATCACATTTGGAGTCATACCGGACGACGCCCATTTGCTTGTGGTCAATGCAGAGCATCATTTGTGCGTCTCTATGACCTACGCCGCCATGAGAAAATACATTCCCGTTTCCTTGAAGCTCGATGTGATTCGATTTCCGATACCCCATGCGAACCCGGTACTTGATTGTGGTACGTGCATCACATACCTACCTATTCGATGCGTTCGGTGAAGGTCATCACTGTTGTGCCCTCAGCCCCGCCCCCGCTCCTCCCCAACGGTCCCCCGGGTCCCGTTCACTGAGCGTGATCATTTTGCCTTGCTGTGCAATCGTTAAACCGCCTCACCAGGGATTGACAGAATTCACACAACCCGTGAACCTGACCACAGGTAATTTAATTTTGATACTGCTTTGTTTTTCTCGCCACACATCTACACACCTGAAATGAAATCATGTTTTTTCGAATGTGCTCGCTTTTTGTAATCGCGTTTATCAGCGCTTGAATTTGCATTTAGGTCATGAGGTAATCGAGTACTGTGTCCGGGATAGTAAACCATTGATTACTTGTAACTGTGTTGATCGACAGACAGTAACCACTCCCCTGCGCAATGCGGCCAAATCCAATTGGGTGTCATGATCACTTTTTTCTGTCGTGTAAACCCGTCAAATAACCTACTCCGGTTCCATCTCACCATCGATCCGAGTCTCATGCCCGCTGTGCAACTGTGACAGTAACCTGACAGGCAAAATAGGCGCCATAGGTTGCATACATTCTCATCGTAAATCAGGGTCAGTGTGGTCGTTGCGGTTGTTGTTACGACCACAGCTGAAGTTTGTTTTCCGGCCGTCTGCCAGGGGTTTGTGTGGTTATGACTGCATGTATCGATCACGCTCATGATTGGTTGAATGCGTAACCAATATCTGCGTGCACCAATCCGTCAGCCTCACCTATGTGACCACCCTCAAAAGTGCTGCCACCGTGGGCTGAGCTGCGTCAGGCAGTGCGTGCATGCGCCCACGCACACGCATGCGTGTGACTTGGTGTGAAAGACCGGGTGGTGGTGCTTTAGTCTGTCGAGTACGTACAAACAACTACGTGCACACAATGCGCTGCAAATGTACCTGGGGTAAAAGGGGCCAGTGGTTTGAGCGGTAAACGTATTGATAAGGTGACGCTATTGTGCACCATGCCCATTGGAAGAATCCGGCTACTACACTATCACCAGGAGTGATACAGACGATGAGTCCTTCATTGTGTTCTTCTCTGTGGCGGCTTCAGCTCGG